GCGAGAAGAGGCCTAAGGCCATGTGGGGTCAGCGTGATCATAACCAAATCTCTCAGGGAAAAAAAAAAAAAGGAAGTAGCCTAAGGTCATGTGGGGTCGGTGTGATCATAACCAAATCTCTCAGGAAAAAAAAACAACAAAAAAAAAGTAGCCTAAGGTCATGTGGGGTGGGTAAGATCATAACCGAATCTCTGAAACATACTGCTTGACAAGTGGTAAGCCGGGACCCCCACTTTTTTTTTTTTTTTTTTTTTTTAAGCTACGCTATATTCTTCTCTCAAATCTTTCATCATCTTTCAAATTCTTTCAAATTCACCTTCATTACCTACCTACCACTACTCCTAAGGCTTAGACAGGGGACCCCTTAACCACCGTGGTTGGGGCGGGGGGCAACATGCATCCCCTCTGATGGCTGGAGGGACCCCCACTTTTCAGACCCCCACTTTTTTTTTTTTTTTTTTTATACAAGACCCCCACTTTTCAGCTTTAGTGTAACGGACTTTTTACTGAAATTAGGGTTTGGATCTAGGTTTGGGATGTTCATCCTCATAATGTTCCACCCATGTGATGAGGGAAAGCCATGTGCTTTCTCTTTTCTTTTTTTTTTTCTTTTTTTTTCAAAATCGGACTTTATATTAGAAGCCGGGAAGCCTGACCCCCTCACAAAATGTTGTTGCTTTCCCCCATGCGAGAAGGCATCACCGGCCGAACTCAGGGCACGCTCACACTGCGGTACCAAATGCGCGTAATACCCCCAAACCCGAAAAAATAGTGTCGAGGGATAGTCCCATCAGGATCTCATTTCCCCAAACTACTTATTTGTGACCCCATTTGTCAGCGGCCTGAGGGGCCACGGGGGTTGGGTACCACAAATTCCCTTTCTTGTTTGGAATCAACCTGTGGAAATGGAAAGAAACTGAAGGACAAAGATATTGCCAGGAAATGCGATCTCGCAGTGTGACTGGAGCAGTCGAAGAGGACCCAAAATTGAGGCGGCCACAACTTGTCTGTTGCAAAATGGGAAAGCAGTGTGACCGGTCCCGCCACTATTATCCCATCCTTAGTATGTGGTCAATGGATTGAGGCTGGCATAGCAGTTCCTCAGTACGGGATGTCGGGAGTGTCAGGAGATACTGCACTTTACCGCAGGGCCGGAACAGGCTCCAGGGACATACGAGGGAACGGAGGATTGCCTGCTCTCAGATTACCATACAACACATGGCTAATAGATCATCCCGGGTCAATACATACAGTCCATGATTCACAATTGAGGGTGGGCTATCCTCCTAGTATGTAGCTTAGAGTTGAGGCTGGCATAGCAGTCCTTAGTACGGGATGTCGGGGGTGTCAGGAGATACTGCACCTTACCGCGGGCCCGGAACGGCTTCCAGGGATATACGAGGGAAAGGAGGATCCCCATCTCTCTACCATCGCCACCATAGAACACTGTAGTAAGACAACATAAGGATAAGAAACTCAGTCCATAACTCATGACCTAGGGTTGGCTATCCTCCTAGTACGTAACATGGGGTTGAGGCTGGCATAGCAGTTCCTTAGTACGGGACGCCGGGGGTGTCAGGAAATACTGCACCTTACCGCGGGGCCGGAACGGGCTCCAGGGACGTACTAGGGAACGGAGGATACCCAGCTCTCTATCATCACCACACAACTAAGCTAGATGGGAGTCACTGTGCACCCTCATGAAGACCTGTAGTAGCATGTTCATACCTAGCTCCCGAAGTCCCCGTGCAATCAGGCTTGCACGGCGTCTGCTTCAACCGGGGCTGAGCAGGGGGTAAGAGTCTCTGCTTAGCCCCGGTGTGACGCCCAACCTCACGCCCGGCGCGACTTCCTGATCGGAGTGGGATGTGGGCCTGCAAGTGCGAAAAGGGGTGTGCCAAGGATTTTTGGGGAAAGTGGGGGTGGAGTCCCAGGCCGGAACTGAGATCTCCTGTGGCAAGGGTTCAGGGGCATAGGTGCAATAGGGCTAAGGGGCGGGTGCCTTCCGGTCTGTTGGCGGTTGACGTCGTGCAGTCATAAGGCAGATGGCATGCGTGGTGCATCAAGGGCCGTCCGATCCATCTGTTTTGGTGACGGCGGTCCGGGAGACCCGTTCGTGAGGGTTGCGATTCTTATGAGTCGGACCTTCGGGTGCAGACACGTGGCGTCTGTCTCCGCGTGTTATAGTTGGGCTCCGTAGTTCCCGGGGTTTGGTGGTGGCTGCGTCGTCTGCAGTTTCTGCACGGCGTGCGGGGCCAATACGGGGCGATGGAATTCCACGGTACCACCGTGAGCTGGTGATATGGGAGGAGAAGACGGAAAGGAGGGAAATTGGTAGTGACAACGACAAAGCCGGGGAATATGAAGTATTGCGTGTTATACATGGTTGGGTAATTGGGACACCTTGGATCGCTGGTTACGGCACAACGAAACTCTCTGGGGCACAATCGGTTCTCGGTTAGGCAGGGAAATTTTGGGCGTTTCTGCCTAAGATACTCTCTTACCCATGGTTCGAAGTACTCTGAGTCCCATGTGTCCGTCATTTTGTCATTGCGGCGTAATGGAAGTCTTCTGCACGCATCTAACTAACAAGGGGATTTCCCGATATGGCATCGGAAATTCCTATCAGTATAGGTGCGTGAAAGAAAGAAAATTTTCGCCTATCCGATACCGGAGGTGCCAGGTTCGTTAATGATCGCGAATTGCTGCGTGTGGATACGTGTAGGCTGCGCAGATCATATCGCGCTTACACGTATCCCCACGGGGTATTCGCTTGTATCCGAAAAAGGTGAGAGTTTAACTCATCATGCAAAATCGCCATGTGCCATGGACAACTACCCAATCATCTAATCATTCGGTGAAACCGCAAGCAATTGTTCCCGAGCACACAGGGTGTCACTATACATAAGACGTCAAAATTTCTATTATGCTTGACGGCGTATCAAAATGGCAAGCAAAGACGATGACCGGACAGGAAAAACGACAAATATATCATTCATTCATCCAAAAACACACAATAGCCGAGATCAAGATCAATCGTAGAACAAGTGTGGGCTGAAGCCGAGGCAAAGATTCCGAAAACAAAAGAAAACGGGCGAGTCGCCCTGAGCCGAGATCAAAATTTATATACAAGAGTGAAGAGGGAGACGAGACAAAGAAAATTGCAAATCCACGCCCCTCAACCTCAGCTCTCTCTCTTCCTCTTTCTCTCTCCGATGCGGACAGTCCGTCGTCATGCACCAACCCACGAAGTCATCACCTCGCTTAGTCCTCCTGCACCCGTCAGGTTCGCCCGCGTGCTACAGTCCGTCGTAGCCCCACGCCTCAACCCCACGCTTTCGGCACCAGCTCGTCGAGTCGCCCGACTCTTCAACTCACCTCTTACTTCGCTCGCGAGCCGACCCTCACTGATCGCGCTACCCCTAGCTTCCAGGAACTGGTCAAGAGAGCTATCTAATCGCGCAACCGAAATTTATAGCGTGCATGCATCTGCGAAGAACACGGAATTGCAAGGACTTAGAAAGGAGATTAGGAGAGGGAGCGCCTACGTTCTGCATGGCCAGACCGCGGCGTGGGGATGTAGCCACTCTCCACCCATTGATCCGATCATGCAGTCCGCGGGCTAGATATCCACAGCAAAAGGAAAAGAGAGGGCGGGAAAGACGAAGCTCAAGAAGGGAGATACAGTTACAATGGCGCCTGCCCAAAAATTACAGTTACATACGAGATTAAGGGCGCCAACTAATCAGAGTTCTGCTGCAGGCGCAAAAAGAAGCGCGCAAGAAAGACAACGTGCGGCAAAAGAAATCCTGAATTCCTAAATTCCTAAACTTATTGGGAAAAGAACTTTAATAAAACGCAAATTCTGAAAACAAAGTCCGAAATTCCGAGAGCCAACGAGGGCCCGACAAGATTCGAAAAAGAAATTAAAAAAGGAGCAAAAACTTCCTGCGCGACCTCCGCGACTAAACCCGACAACAGAACAAGAAAGAAGCGACGTCAAACATTATTACTCGCGCCTTTGTCGGCGCGACAACTACTCAATCGGCTATCTCGGGACTTGTCCGGCCCTAAACCTAGCCATTCGAAAAGAAGCGACGAAAAAAAAAAGACGAAGAAGCGAGGACACCGATGCAATTTTCCTTCGATCCCGATCTCCCATAATTGGCACATCCTTCCCATCTCAGGACCCCTCATTGCGCAGAAAATCGCGCGGGACAGAAATTGGTTCGTCACATATGTGACGCCCAGGGGGTTCCAGTCTTAAGCAAGCTCCCGCTTGCTTGAATCATGACACGTGTCGATCTCTCTAATCGATCGAGACGCGGAGCCTTCTTCGTTGCCACTTACCATTTGACAAGAGTGTGGACGTCATCCAGGGTGGCACACGTGGCTTTATCCTACAATTTCCTCAGGATGGGCTCTCTTCAGTCCAAGGAGGGGATCGTGTGTGCCATCGTCGTGGCACGTGCCAGCCAACCGTGCATCAATGACCTAAGGGAAGGGGAAAGGGAAGACGATACATGGGGCATGGCGAGGGGGTGGGTTAGTCGGGAGCGGGGGTAAAAAGCGTTCTAATCCTGCGACTGTCACCGGAAGCTCCTGATATCGGATGATCTGATGAAAGCGAGGGAATCGATTACCACTATGAGGAAGGGATGCGAGATAGTCGGGGTAGAGGGTGGTGAAAGTTCGGAAGAGTGTCGTACGGAAATGATCGTGGTTTTCGCATGCAGGGATAGTCCCCGTGATCATGCAGTAAACCTCGATGATGTTGTAGCCTCTCCACGCGGCACTGAAGAGAAGGGCGTGGAGATAGAAAACAGGGGTGGCACACCGGGTAGAGGGGTGGGGATGAACCGGGACAGCAAGACGGGTGGCGTAGAAAAAGCGAAAGGTGTCGATTGGGAAGGGATTGCATGGGAAGGTGATGTGGATAGTGATCTAGCGGAGGGTGAGGTGGTCAAGGGGACGACGGGATAAGGACCGGGGACGAAGCCCGATGCCCCGCATCGGTACGAGCACAAACTGGTGGACGGGCAGAGGTGGAGGGGGAGGGGGATCAACTTCGTCGTCGTCGGGCCGGTGCGCTCGAAGTCTCAGCAACAAGGTTCCTATTGTCGTTCTTGGGCGGCTTGGGATCCTTGGCCGGGTCTTTCGGGATCGGCAGATCCACTTCACTTGCGAACTCCAGCGGCTGCTTTCCGGCTGCGATCTCCTCTCTCCTTCGCACCACCTCGGGGTCCTCATCCCGAGTCTCTGCGTGTTCCGCCTCTTCACCCAAAGCCTCCCACTCAGATCCCTCCTTTTCCTCCAGCTGATCTTCTTCTTCTTCTTCTTCTTCTTCTTCTTTGCCCGACTCTTCCTCGCTGTATTCACTGTAACTCCCTGCTTCTTCCGAGGTTTCCTCTTCTTTCTCCTCGTCGCCTTCCTTTATGCCCTCTTCTTCTTCCTCCTCAAGCGTTAGCCCTTCGTCTTTGGAGGCCGTTCGAGGCTGAAAGAAGGCGAGGTCGATTATCCTCCGCGGGTCCAGGTACTCTCGTTGCGATGACGAATCCTCTCTGCTCCTCGAGGCAGGCCGACCACTGTAGGTAGGGCGTCAGAGTTCGGAAAAGGACGTGTGGGACCGGGCTCTCGTCGCACTGCAAAACGATATCGAGAGGGAGATCGTCGACCAGCTGCGCGAGGGGAATCGTGAACTCCTGTACGATCAGTTGTCAATGGCCGGGCCGCACCGATCCGGATAAAAATCTGAGAAGGTCTCCTTCCACCTTCGTCCTCCAAGCTTGGATGATCAGCAGCTCCACGTATTCGGTCCAGGTACGGTGCTCTATGTCCCTCGTGCACGTCAGCTGCACCTCGACCAGACACATCGAAAGATCGACGAAGTGCTCGCACCACAGTTCCCACTGTCTTGGATCGAGGAAGGAAACAACAAGTGATTCCAGACGAAAGGAGAGACGGGGGCAAAGGTCAGACTGCTAGAAGGTAGGGAAGAGAGATGGGAGAGCGAAGGTAGAGAGCTGGGAGCGGTTCATTGAGGACGCTGGAAGGGAACGAGCTCTGGAAGCACCACTGTCGGTTTGTGCCGAGACGTTCGGAGCCCTCTGACCTCGATGTCGTCCGTGGGGACAAGATTGTCGCTGCTGCACGTAAGCCACTGATTCCACTCCGTTGCCAGCTGCTGGCCCCACTCCCTTAACGACGTCCGGATGGTCGTGTGTCGTGGATGGCTGATCACTCTAATATCGCCGCTGAAGATGACGACGGTAAACACGTGGCTAACTCCTGGTGCTGACAACCGTCGAATAGCCGACGCCTCGACCAACACGATCGCTTGACGATGACCCGTGAATCGGAACTCTGCCGCCGCGTACACTCCCGTGGTACAGAAGAATTGTGCGAGCCGTAGAAAATCTGGACTGAATCGCGGGTGATGGACTTGCCGAATTGTCGAAGTGTCACCACGTGGCGCCAGCATGTGGTCGCCGAGAGCCCGCTCAGTGAGAAAACTCATGGCGATGGCGATGGGGACGGGGTGTGAGAAGGGGCGAGAGATGTAGGAGGGGAGGAGAGCGGTAAAGAGTCATCGTCCTCCTTTGTAGCGAAGGAGGAAGCAGACACAGCTGGAGATGGAGAGGAAGGGAGAGGACGTAGATAGGACACGTGGCGGACGATCGGTCGAGCCGATCGTCTTCCCGAGACCTCCGGCACGAGGCGCACGGTGTTCACCCCGTTTGGTCCGAGTTCGATCACACGAAATTGCCCGAAGAATCTTGGCGCTATCTTCCCTTGGCGAGCACATTTCCTCACCTGCACCAGGTCCCCTAATTTATACTGCAGTCGCGGTCCTGCGTTCCCATTTCGGGCCTCGTAGCTACAGGCCTGTCGGTCGTGGGCCAACTCGGTCATTTTCTGGCGCTTTCGGGCTAATTGGGGAAGGGACCGTTCCATCTGCTCCATATGCCGCTTGGCCTTGTCCCGAACCGTGGCTCTTGTGGGCCGTCGGTTCAATGACGATTCATCGGGGAGGCTCGGTATCGAGACACAAGCTACGCTATTGGTTCGTAATTGGAAGGGGCTAAGGCCCGTTGATTCGTGATGCGTTCCCCGATGGACCGCCAAGATGTGATCTACGATATCGGGCCAGGGCCTCGGATCCCGTGCCACGATGTTTCGTCTCAACGCTGTCTTTATCACCCGATTTGCGTTTTCTACCAGGCCGTTAGATTGTGACATGTGGGTTGCCGTGTTCCGAATGGCGACGCCATGTACGACCAAATTCCTTAAAACTTCCCCTCTGAATTCTACCCCATTGTCGGTCAGGATTTCCTCTGTATCCTGGTGAATCCCTAAAAACCGGTTGACATAACGCACAATTTCAGCCGCCTGTCGGGTTCGACACGGATATGTCTCAATCCATTTCGAAAAGTGGTCTACGAATACCAGTAGGATTGAATACTCGCAGCTATTAGGTCCAGGGGGCACCATAATATCGGTAGTATCCATGCTAACCCTCTGAAACAGCCGTTCAACTACCGTATACACTATCGATCTTGGCGCCTGAATCGGCGCCTTGTCGGCAACGCAGACCTAGCAGTTCGCGACGATGAATTTCATATCATCACGAATATTGGACCAATACCACTCATTTTGGTCGATGGCCGCCTCCGTGATTCGGACAGCAAAATGGGCTGCAGTTTCTTCGTGCGCTGTCTTAACCCAGTCATACCTCATGAACGGGTGCGGTACTACCATCCAAATCCCACCACAATCCATCTTTCGTTTTTCTAATCGGCCCTCGTTCCAGCGATAGTCCCTAGCCCTTTCGTTGGCCCTCCTCCTATCTTCCTTAGTGAAGTCCCGGAGGGGGTTACCTACTGAGGTGGCAAGTAGCGCAATGTCCGTCCAAACTTCGGCCCTTCTAAATTTTCGACTTTTCTCTAACCCTTCTGACGTGGCGTCGAGAAATCGAGCCTCAGTCGGGATCTTATCAGTCCGACACAAGGGACACAACCACGACTTCTCGTCATTTATATACTGGATACACGAGCCATGGGCTCGTGGGACACACTGCCGACAATCTATCCACTCTGCATATCCCTCCTCACTAGGACGCATAGGGACTGAGTAGACGCGCGAAATTGCTTTGCAAAAATAACAAAATTTGTCGGGTAGGGAGAAAAGAGATGAGGATGAGAGGGGAGAGAGGGGAGTCGCAGGATTACCTCTGTCACCCATTGCCAATTGCCTGCTTCTTGCCACGTGGAAGGATTTTCACTTGTCCATACTTGGGTTCGTTCGTTGACTTCCGTTCCTTCCATGGAATGATTTCTTCACCCTTAGGTACTTTAGCGGGGCGATGCAGACTTGTCAACCCGTCCGCATTGCTGTGCCTCTCCGTCTTTCGATGGATGATGTCGAAGTCGTATTCCTGCAGATGCACCGCCCACCGTCCAGTCTTACCCGTGTAATTAGTGAGCTTCTTGAGAGCCAATAATGGCTCGTGATCGGTTACAAGGAGGAACTTTTGTCCGTACAAGTATGAGTGGAAGTGTTGAATCCCCCAGACCACTGCGTAGCATTCGCCCTACGGGGCCGAATCGTTCCTCCACTCGTCTGGCACCGTGCATGATGCGTACTCGATGACGTGTTATCGGTCGTCATTTCCCTTCTGCGCTAGAATAGCGGAGATCGCTTCCGGCTGTCAGTCCGTAATAAGAATGAATTGCTTCGTAGGGTCCGGTTGGATCAAAATAGGTGTCGTTGCCAGGACGTCCTTGAGGGTGGCGAAGGCTCGTTCGTATTCTTCATCCGAGCTGAGGGGCTGGTCCTTCCGCAGTAGGTTCGTTAGAGGTCGCGCAATTGCGGCAAAGCCCTTGATGAAGCGACGATAATACGATGCCAGCCCCAAAAAAGCTCGAACCTGCGTCAATGACGTGGGGACAGGGGCGTCCTTCACCGCCGCGACCTTTCTCGAGTCTGGTCGCAGTCCTCCACATGTCACCACGTAACCCAAGCATGAGATTTCCGAGAGGAAAAACTCGTTCTTTGCGAGCGCGATCTTGAACCCAGCGTCCACTCGATGTGTTGTGCATGCCCGTGATAGGTCTCCGAGTAGACCAGGATGTCGTCCATATACACGATGACGCAGAAGTTAACCATCCCCTGAGTTAGCCGCGTTTTGTTGACGAAGTTCTGGAATCTCATATTCATAGCCCGCTAAAACGTGGTAGGCGCGTTGCAAATCCCCATCGGACACCGAACCCATTGCCACGTGCCCTCAAACAGTACGAAGGTCATTTTCGATCGATCCTCTTCGTTAACAAGAATATGATGAAAGTCATGGCGAATATCAAATTTACTAAAATAATTAGCGCATCCAATCGCATCCAACAAATCATCAATCCGGGGAAGGGGATACACATTTTTGATCGTGATGTCATTCAACTTGGGATAATCGATGCATATGTGAATCGATCCATTCTTCTTCGGCACTAATACTACTGGGAACGACCATGGCCCAGTGGCGGGTTCGATCCAACCATTAGCTTCGAATTCTCGAATCCGCTCAAGGGTCGTTTTCCATTCTACCAGGGAGTATCTGCAGGGCTTACAGTGAATCAGGGGGTGGTTTTTGGTTTGAATCTCGTGTTGTATGACTAACGACAGCCCGATGCCTGTGTCCGTCACACTAATCGCTCGTTTGTATTCCTTCAAAATGTCCGCGATTAGGTGATGGATCTCCTCAGGTACGTATTGGGGCACGTGCAATTCGTACAGCTCATCCCATACCCGTACATCGATATGTTTCGTACTCACCCGCTTAGTGTTTTCGGGTGGGGGCGCGAAAATAAACGAATTATCCGATTGCCAGGAGAATACCGTAGCCATCATCAGTGCATCCTGCTCTCGAATGACCACGTGTTCCTCTGGTGTCACTCTGTCTCGAATGTCCTGCCATGGCACGAGTTTCGTTGCAATTTTGATTCCAAGCCCAGTTTCGAGGCGCTTTGGGGGGTCTACAGAATTGGTCTCCGCCCCTAAGCGTATCAATCGTATTTCTTTTGCAGGTGTCAAAAGAGATCGTGGAAGATTCGTGATGTCGCAGTAGTGCCTTTTGTCATTATATCGTGCGAGTAAAGGGGAGATATCTTCGTAAAGGGTTCGAGGGGGTTCCAAAGAATCGACCATCCTCGAAATTTGTACGAGGGGTTCACCCATAATCATGGCTTGCGTTCTTTGTAAATTATGATCAGTGAGGCTTAGTGATTTCGTGTTTGCTCGTTGTACAGGGTAATAGATACGCTGTCGCGCCATTTCCAGAATTATTGGATTGTCCTCATCACTGCTGTCTGCGTCCTTCAGAGATTGCTCTCCGTCAGCAGAGCTATCCCAGGTAATTACGCGAAGAGTTCCCGCCATTATTGGAGAAACTCGTGGGGTTACGTTAGCCGTGGTTCGAAGAGTCAGTCTCATAGGTACAACATAGGGTTTTCCTCCTTTGTTTCGGAGGACAATCAATCGCCTATTGAAATCCAGATTGGCTCGCAAGGCTACCAGGGCGGGAAGGTCAAAAATGACGTCGTAAGTACTTACGTCTAAAACTACGATATCTTCCGAAGCATGTACTTTCCCTAATCGAAAAGCAACATTGGTCATTCATCCTACCGTTTTAATCTTTTCTTCATCTGCTGAAACGAGCTGTTCTTTTTCCATAAGCATGATTAGATCGTTCTTTGTTCCTGCACTTTCAACTACCCGTAATGAGATAGCTAGGATAGCGGTTCCGAAATCAATGATAGCATTGTACAATATTCCCCATACCTCGCTATCGCATTCCGCGAATTTCCATGGGATGGGTTTAGATCGCTATTCGCTTCAACCATACCATCAGCCAAACTACCAATCATAATCAATCAAACCTAACACACACAACCATACAGACCACCATACAATCCACCTCATGGTCTTATCCACATCTTCCTTCTTATATGCCTAGTTTTCCCTCATTCCCATACCCGGATGTCGTTCCACCAGGGACAACGGTAAGCTTCCGTTATCCCAGGCAACAGCGCCACCTCTCGAACGCATCGGTCCGGCACTGCACCAGGGCAGCACGGGACCCTCCCGGCCGCGTCACGCAGGAGTTGGTCTAAATCCTCGTCGTGAATGTACACATGTGGAGCTTCCGTAAGCCGCTCCGGCCGAGTGCGTCAGCCATACCTCTCGCGAACCCCTACGACAGGATAGGGCCTACGCGAGGCACGACTTACCTCCACCTTACGGGAGTTGTCACCTCCCTTCGGTGGACGTATCCCCACCGAGCTACCAGTCCGCAGTATGAAACTTAATCAGTTGCAATCGCAGAGGTGGGCCAGCCGAGGGCGTTTCTCGTTCGTTGTAGCATAGGGGGTATGCGAGGTAATACGCCTCTATCGGACCCGTACGCGAACCGACGTCTTGGGGGGCTGAAGTCCCAAGCGCGACCTGTTGTTGATCGACTAGGACGTATCTCACTCGTCACGCGCACACCACTCTACAAGACATCGCTCCTAGCCCCTTCAGTGTCGATCCCATAACCTTTCACTGCGGAAATCAAGTAAGCGACACGCGCGAGGCTCAATATAGAGATCGCGCGACCGTAGAGCCTTATCATATCGACTAGCAATGCAAACGTACGCAAGCG